ATGTGGCTCCGCCCGGAGCCACCACGGACTTCGACGCAAGTCGAGGTTCGACCGATCTGAAGGTCGAGAGAGTTGAAGACCAACAACCAGTGCTCACTAGGGCCAACCGACGAAGCGCAAACCGAAGAAGAAGATGCGTGCGCCGGAGGACGAACTGACGTCCAAGACGATATCCAAAGACGCGGGACGTCAATACACCGCGGAAGAGTTGGAGTACGCGCTGAGTCGCACGGGCTTGTTTCGACAACTAGAACGGAACCGGGTGCTCAGCTTCATCAAACCGAAGCTGATCGGTGAACTCACGGGGCCGTTCCACGAGCCGAACTTCTCGAATCTCACGAGTTTGCGTCTGACGATCCCAGCGTTGTTCGCCGTACTACGCGAGTCAGGCTTCGTATTGGGAGCCTTCGAGATGGAGAGGGTGTACGACTGGGACCATGAGTCTTGGACGAACGCGATCCGCGCGATTCTCGATCCGTTTACAGTCTTGGTCGGCACGGTCAAACGCAACACGACCTCCACCGAGTTACGCGTCGAGTGAAGACTCTGACAGCAGCGTCGAATCATCAAGACGGATGCCGATGCGCCGACCGCCACGCGTGATGCAGCTCGCAGCGACGCCTGCTGAACCGGAAACCCCGTTCGCAGAGAGACTCATACCCAAAGCTCTGGAAGACGCGATAGTCCGACTGATGCAGTCGACGAGGATGCAAACTGCATCCGGGACGACGCCGTCCGCTCCTCGCTACGCGAGCCCGACGCCCGCGTCCCGTCGCGCCACGACGGACACGGTTCCTCAAGAGGCGACGGACGTCGCGATGGAGTCGGTGAGCTCGCGCTCATCGTCGCATTCCAAGCGAGACCAAGCCGAAGACCCGGACGATCTCTTCGATCTGGATGCGGGGCTAACGGGAACCGCTGCCGCAGTCTCCACTGCTACGGCAGGCGCCGGTGTCGCGCGCGTTCGCCTCTCGGTGTTCTCCGAACTGAAGGAGTCCGTCCAACGGGAAAGACGCCAGCGAAGAGAAAGCCCGTGCTTGGTTTAACCGACTGAAGTCTGCGTCGAGACGCGATGGAATGTCCGGAGACGAAGTGTGCGTGCTGTTCGAAGATCTGATGGCCGGGCCCGCGCGTCAGTGGTATCTGCAACTGAAGAAGTCGACGAGGACTTCATGAACCGAGTTGACGGACCAATTCTGCGTCCACTACTGCGGTAAAGGCGAGTCTATGACCAGCCACTACTACCACGCGTCCAAACATGTGGATGAGACACCCCTCGAATACTTGTACCGGCTGAATGTGGCAGGCATGAGACCGAAGATTCGCTACTCCGATGGGACGTCAGAAGAGAAACGCGAACATGTCGAGCTGTTCATCAACACCTTGGGCGCGCAAGAGCAAGAGTTGGCATCCCGTCTCACACTGATGGAAGTGCCGGACACGGACACGCTGGAGAAGAAGCTTCGCGCGCGGCAACGCGGTCTAGCTCACCAGAAGAAGACGCTCTTCGGCTCAAACCGTGTCCGCCAGAAGGCGTCGACGCTAACGCCGACGCCGGCTAAGGCCGTCCATGCAGTCCAGATCGCGACCGACGACTATGACTCGGGACGTGAAAGAGACTCCGACGACGACCAGATCTGTGACCAAGATCGGGACGACGAAGAACGGGCCAAGATGTTTGTGACGGGGCACGCGCCGCAACAGGAGAACGCGCGTCGCGACTTCTAACAGGAGGAGCGGTTCACGATCGACCAAAGTGTCGGCACTGCGGATCGCGCCGTCACTCCGAAGGAGACTGCTGGAGTTTACTGACATGCCAGAAGTGCGCTGGGCAGCACCCAACGGATCGCTGCCTACGGGCGTGCAAAGCATGCGGAGACGTACACGAGGCTGGAAAGTGCTCTTTGGAAGATTTCTTCAACCAGTTGCGTTAGTGGTATGATCCACAGAAGCACGCCACTCCCACCGCCGAGAAGATGTCAAACTAGGTCGCTCGCTGGCATGGAAACCAGTACGAGACGAGCGATCTATGTGCCTATGCATACGTTGCCAAGAGATCAAGAGACGAAGTTAGTAGGTGCACGGCAACACTGAATGATAATACATGCGAATCCAAAATGGTACGTACCGCGCTAGAAGGCGCTCCCCGAGTTTCGGCAATCCGATCTACGGATGAATACGCGCGGCAGACGCCGTTGGGATCGATTGACTTGCAACCAGGAGAACGACGCGGGTTCTGGAAATACTACGCGCCGGGCAAGTGGTACAAGCAAGCTAAGATCCATGGAAAGCTGAACAATCGGGAAGCCGTGATGCCGCTCGATACAGGCGCCGAGGTGTTCATCCTGGATACCACCTTTGCTCGTGAGGTAGGCTGCCAAATTGATACGAGTGTAACTCAGGAATGTGTGGGCATCAGGGACGAAACGTACTTCACGGTGGGGAAGACGCGCGTCAAAGTCACGCTGGCGGGGAACATGGTGTACTACATGGACCTCTGGGTCGGAGACCTTGTCGGCCAGAACGCGATCTTCGGGATGAATTTCATGGTGCCTGCAGGGGTGCGGATCGATACCGCGGACGGCACATCATGTCTCCCAGACGAAGTCCGCATCCAGATGATCGGGAGACGACCGTTGTACGGATCGCGAATGCGTCCGGTGACAATTCCGTCGTTGATCCGCGTCGCCGCAGGTCAGACTTACGACGTGCCGTTACGACCAGAGAAGGGTGTACCGCGCTTGTGGATGACACGAGGAGCGACGTGGGTAAATTCCCTGATCAAGGCTCCCGGCGGACGTCGCACGTACTTGCGCGTTACGAACATCTGAGAGAAGTCGACCGTGCTAGACGCACATACGACGATTGGATGGTGGACGCCCATCGACGCGGTACCGCGCGCGTGTGGGTTCGTACAACCTGCATCGCGAAAGTACGACGAGTGGCAGAACTTGGCGTACGGAGCGACTTCAGACGTAAATGACGGAGCCATATTCCAGGAGGCTGGTGGTCCAATGATGGAACGGCGAGAGTATGCCGATCCACAAGCGATCCTGGTCCGATCAGAGAAGACAGGGAACTCAAGGGAGAAAGGTAGCGGCGATATCAACCGTTTCACGAGAAGATAATACTAAGTTCACCGATGTGGTGAAGACCCAGGACGCCCTCTATCCGAAGATCGAGCACGAAACGCGTCTTGGCGCGGAGCCCGAGCACGGACCGCATCTCAACATGGGGTCGACGGAAGAGCCCGAACCTAGCTTCAAGGAGATTCCAGAGTACGAGTACGCCGACGAGGAGGTGATATTTCATGAAGAGTCAGACTTATTCGCAGAAGCCTTGGAAGCCGAAATGGCAGTGTTGCCAGAGGTTCCGTTGACGGCATAAGTGAAGATCGAGGATCTCAAAATTGGGCGTCCAGAAGGAGTTGACCCGGAGGAAGCTGCAGAGATGGAAGAACGGCTGCGCCAGGTCGTCTGGAAGAAGCGTAAATGGTTGGTCGGGAAGGGCAACGCTCTACCACCTGCAGCGAATGGTGTCATTTGCGACATTGATGTGGGAAACGCGAGGCCCGTCGCACAACGCGTCCGGAAGATCTCGTCGCAGTTTCGCGAGAAACTAGCCGGTCTGATCAGAGGACTTCTCAGTGCGCGTATGATCCGCGCGTCGAAGTAATCTTGGGCTTCCCCCATCGTCGTCAACGTGAAGAAGAATGGCGTCGACATCAGACTCTGTGTCGACTACAGGTTGGTCAACGGTTTGACCCAGTTGATGGTGTACCCGATGCCACTGGTCACGGACCTCTTAGACGACATGGATAAGTACCGATGGTACTGCTCCTTAGACATGGCCAGCGGATTTTGGGTAGTCCCGATGACGGACCGAGCCCGTCTCATCTTCGCGTTCATCACACCATTCGGGCTGTTCGAGTGGCTGCGTATGTCATTCGGGTTAGGCAACGCGCCACAGATATACCTGCGGTTGATAGACAACGCGCTGTACGGCTTCTGGAAACTCTCGCCGACTGATGATACCCGCGACGTTTTCAAGGACGGGGTCCCGTCCAAGCCCGGAACACGGTCCGGGCTTGGCCGACGGCCTATATTGACGACATTCTGATCGGGGGAAAGTCTTGGGATGACTTATGCGAGAAGGTGGAACGCCTCCTCGACGTTTGCGAGGAGTGGCACCTGTCTATCAGTGTCGAGAAAAGCGAGTGGGGAATGCCAAGAGTGGATTACTTGGGGCATGAGATTTCGGAAAACGGACTCGGGGTGAAGCCAAAGAACTTGGGAGCACTAGCGGCGCTGAATTTTCCGCGCACGCAAAAGGGGTTGCAATCGTACTTGGGTAGTCTAAATTACTACCACCACTTTATCTCCGACTTCGCGATCTTTGCCACCGCGCTTTACTCCCTCTCAGCCCGCGACTTCGAGGAACGCACCATGAACCCAGAAACGCGTGACGTGGAAAAGTGGGATCACGCTGAACGCGCGTTCACGACACTTCGCAACAAGATCGCGGCTACCCCGATGCTAAAGCATTTCGACGCGGATAGACAACCAGTGGTGATTGTGTACGCGAGTGATTGGGCCTCGTCGGCCGTCCTCACTCAAGAGCATGACGGAGTGTACATGCCCGCCAAGTTCACTAGCCGGACGTTGAAGCCCAACGAGCTGAACTATAACATCACCGAGATGGAGATCCTAGCGTTGTTGCGCGTCTTGAACGAGTGCCACAACATGCGGGTGGGAAAGGCGATACGCGTGTTGACCCGAAATACAACCCTGGGTTGGCTATTCAGGTCTAAAGGGCTGCAAGGTCGTCTGTCGCAATGGGTCGCCATCATATCTCCTGGCGATTGGAAATCCTCCGGTCGGCGAAAGGGGAGGAAGAGATTCTAGGAGCGTTGGCTGCAAGGTTCACGCCGAGGGTCCATGTAGATTCCGCATTGGAACGCCCGTCTAAGATGGCTGTGATCCCGGTCCCGAAAATCGGACCGACCGAGAGCCTCCACGTGATCAGCTTCGACGGATCAGCCCGCGTCAAACGCGAAGGTGGTGCATTCAGCGCAGTGGTCTGACAGCTGCCGAATTGGGACGTGGTAAAAGCCGCTCCTGGATACGCGGAAGGTCTCACAGTGAACGAAGCCGAATACCGGGGCATGATACTCGGGCTCTCGCTCCCAGAAGACTTGGATGTCGCACGCCTAATCATATGCGGCGATTCCAACCTGGTGGTTCGCCAAATGCGAGGAGAGATGGACTGTAAATCTCCCGGATTGAAGCTGTTGAGACAACAGGCTTGGAACGCGCTGTCCCAACGACCCGGACACGAGTTTCTACATGTCAGACTGGAATGCGAGTGCAGATATGTTGGCCGGACAGACACTCCAACGACAAGGAGGCAAAGACGTCCACAGCGTCGAGGAGATCGAAGATCTGAAGTCGCTAAATCGGTTGGGAGAAGTGCTGCAACCCACGCTACCCGGTTTAGAGCATGACACGCGCGGTACAGATGACCCCGTCGCTGATCTTGAAACGCGCGGTCCCGACAACGAGAGACGTGGGGCGGGGAGAGTCTATCCTGTGACCACCCGGTCGCGCGACGCGTCCCACCAAACCACGCGGAGACAGCCGGAAGCCTTGAAGGAACTACAGGTGCAACGGCTGAGACTGGATCGGGTCCGTACGGCGCAGGAAGAAGAGCTCTGGATAGCGAACCTCAAGAAGTTCCTAAGCAGAGATATCAGCGAGCTTTCCAAACAGGAAGTGAAGAGCTGTGTGAAGATCGCAGAACAATACGAGGTGGGAGAGAGGGCTTGTTGTACTACCGTGTACGGGGAAAAGAATCGGCAGAAGACCGGGACTGGATCATGAAGTTGGTCGTGCCAGAGACCCTCCGACAAGACGTGCTACACCACTACCACGCGAGTCTAGAAGGCGGGCACCAAGGTATAGGCCGAACGTACCAACGCGTACGACGGCATTTCCACTGACCGGGACTATTCAAAAGCGTACAGCGTTATGTCGGAGAGTGCGTCGACTGGCAAAGGGAGACCGACAATCCAAGGGGAATCTCCTGGAAATATCGTAGCGACGTATCCATTCCAAGTAGTCGCGATGAACCACATACCGTCACTGCCCGCGTCACACAAAGGAAACACGGAGCTGTTAATCTGGGTCGACCTGTTTACGGGTTTCGTCATCGCAAAGGCAAGTGCGTCGCGGACTGCGCAGACAGTTGCTGAGTCGTACGAGGAGGCGGTCTTCAGACGATTCGGGGCTAGTGAAGCCATTCGCCACGACCGCGTGCCGGGCTTCATGTCCGATTTCTTCAGGGCCTTCATCAAACTCATGGGTCAACGGCAACGAGCAACTCTCGCGTATTTCCCACAAGCAAACGGGGCGGGGCGGAGCGCATGGTGCAGACGATCACGAGGTCCATCAAGATGTACATCGCGGACAACGATCAGCGCGACTGGGTCGAGTACGCAGAACGGCTCACCTACGCCCTGAATACCGCCCACGATCGAACACGGGACGAAACACCGTTTTTCTTGGTGCATGGGTGGGACCCACGGTCCACCCTGGAAGCGACGCTAGCGATTGGTAACACCTCACATCGAGACGTAGATGCTAGGCGATGGAGAATGCGTATACATCGTCACTACAAAACCGCACGCGCACAAGCACTTGAGTTGATCCGCGAAGCAGTGGACACGCGGACACACGGCAGAACGCGCCCGCGACGGAACACGCAATACAACGCGGATCCCAAGTCTGCCTGTACCTTGATCGGGTCAAGCCCGGGTACGCAAGCAAGCTTGCGCACCTGTGACACGGCCCGTTCCGCGCCGCCGAATTAGTGACCGCGTACGCCGTACGTCTGGAGACCAACGGAACCCCATACGTCTGGAGACCAACGGAACCCCATACCAATTGTTCCCGTGCACGTCTCGAAGCTGAAGCCTGTCCGTGAATTCCCGTCGCGACCTGAGTTGCGATTGATGGTGCCAGCGGAGGCGCGATTCGACTTCGACGAAGAGCTCCTCCCGGAGGACAGCTGGGAGACTTATGATGCGGACGACGATGTAGACGAGGTCGAGCAAATTCTAAATGTACGCGAAGGTCGCACAACGCGCTATGGACGAACGCGGCGCGAGTTCCATGTGAAGTGGCGAGGATACCGAGAGACAAGCTGGGTGGATGGGCTGGACTTGAACTGCGGAGGACTTTTGTATGACTTCATGCGGAAACGCACAGGTCGAGGCCGATTCGATGTGATACAGTCCCACGAGGACGCGTCTACCGAGAGCTGAACACCGGTGGGTGCTGACGTCGACGGGGTGGCCGTCGACGGGAGGAAGTGGAGGAACTAGGTGCTGAGATTGGTCAGCCCAGGGAAGATGAGTTGTGGGAAGTCTGGCGGACCGGCTCGTTAGCTGAAGATAGGGCGACAGGGTCGCTCTATAACAAGAAACGAGAAAGAATGGAAAGATTGGATTCAAGAATAGGAAAAAAGGCCTACGTCAAGAGGGATGGCTACCGCTACTCCTAAGGTTGTGACTGCCCGCGCTCCACGAACTTCGACGCAAGACTGCGAACGTTGTAAGCCTGGTGCTCGCGTTCAACGGTAGTGTTGCCAGCTGCGTCCGATTGAGTACGGAAGAAGCGACGCCACGGCTCGCCCGCGTCGATGTCGGCCAACGCGGCCTCCAGGGTCGAGTTCCACAAGTCAGGGTACCAACGTCCGACACAGGAACGCCCCGGAGGGAACAGGAGCGTCATGACGTCCAACAGCACGTCCATGTCCACGCGCCCTGCCTGGAGGAGTATCAGGAGCAGCTGAAACGTACCCACTAAGTGGTCACCGGCGT